AATGTCACAAACATTATTGAATGTAACTCGTCATTACATTAACTATTGCTCTTATTTGGATGTTGAGTCCAATTTTCTGACAATCACATCTGTTTCTCAGCCAGCCTGTATTCAGTGGTCATATTTATGAGATCTTGTGTCCTTCAGTGACGGAATCACTGAAGCATGATGTAAGCCATGGCTAATGAATCATCTGGCCTTAACTTACACAAAGTTCTCATTAACTTAGTTTTAATTTTAAATGATCATGTAAATAGTGCCAGTTTTATTTTATTTTAGGTTTCAAGGTCATTCAGTTCTATACACAATGAGTTTTATTTCCCAACAAAGATAAATCAGTGTCATTCTTACAATGACATGGAAGCCCTGAAAAAAAAATATATTTTTAAATATCTGATTTTATGTGAAATTATGGTAAGACCACAACTTTACAAAATACAACATGTTATTGCATTTTAATTCTATTAAACTAAAAAATAACTTTTCAAGAAAGATACTTAGATCCTAAACAAGTCTGCTGTCTGTGATCTAAGTTTCATAAAAAATGCAAACTATAAAGATCATAAATTAAAGGAATGAATTCATACTTACTCTGTGCCAAAGATGCATGAAAACATCCAAGAAGATATACCATACAAAGTATCCTCTTGTCCATGATGAATGGCTTTACTTTACACTCCTCGCAGTGCAGTGCAGTTTGTCTGCGATTGCACATTGTATTAAATTTGTGAATTGCTCCTCCCTCTGTATTCAGGGGGAGTGACAAGGCATTGTCACCTGCCACTTTCATATAACTTGAAAAACCAGATAGGATTAGCGACCAATTTGTTTCTACAACAAAAAATACCACATAAATAGCATGCCCCATATACAACTGAAAAATGTCTGTAGAGACATTAAACATGGCTGCATGAGGCTGACTTTTAAATTTGATTCAGAATTATCTTGTTCAAGAGTGGTAGACATTTATTCTACACTTTTTGGTTATATTTACTTTGATTTTGAATCTTTTGCATTGCAATGTAATGTTTCTTTTTTGTTTATTTTCTTAAGTAGTGCCACATTTTGATTATAAAGATGTTTGTCCCTTTAATAAAGAATTAAAGGGCAAAACTACGTTAGAAATCAATAATATTAATCTATAAAATCTTTGACTTATATATACATTTACATTTGTGAGAATGCCTACAGGCACAAACCAGAAGTTGCGTAATGCACATCGTGCAACCAAAATGACATATGCTCTATATACTTATACTTAATTTCATACTCACTTCCTTGTGTCATACAACAACATCATTAGTGGTTTTCTATTTTTTTCTGTTTTATATTTAAGATCAATGTTCTAGTGTTTGACCTTTTCATGAGAACTTTTCTTCTCTGTGTTTAAATGATCTTCGCTTGCCGTGTTTGCTCTTTCACATTTCAACATTCCTGTTCAGTTGGCATATGTCAGCCTTTTCGAATAAGTCAGTAGAAATTCAATGCCCAAAGTTATTACTTTTCATAATTTAGTGTTGATACAATCTTCTACTGACGTGGTAATCATCACTGAGTAGATGTTATCTTTCATGACACCCCCAGGGTGAATGTATGAAAATATGAAGTTACACCAGGACTTTTTTTTTTTAACGTGGTTGCCAGCACATGTAGACACACCAGACAAACAACCATTTACATTAAGACTCACCTTTAAGGTCAATTTGGAAAGACAAATTAGTCAAACATTTTTGGATGGTGGGAGGAAAACAGTGTACTGGGAGAGAACCAGAGCACACAAGAAAATGACAATACAGAAAAGAAAATTGACTGTTCAACAAAAGATGACTGGATATTAAGCAATATATAGTGTGGTTATATATTAAAACACAGAACTATGAAGGAAGCAGTTATTATGAACAAGTACAGAAAAACATGCAAAAAGAGACAAACTTAGCAATATGTAACCGTGTTGAATGAAATCACATTTTTCTGTTTTTCTATTTTTCTTTTTTGTCTCTTGGTAAAATGTTTTCTTGTCACTTATCATAAATAAAACTCTTCTACTTAGGATACATCATAACTTTTTAAAATGTTCTGCCTATAGGTTTCAGTTTGGTAGTATTTGCATATTGCATTTATCATATTCATCAGTGTCGACGAAGGTTCCCACCTGGAACTTGTTTCCCTTACGACACTTTTCATGTAACACTTACTGCACATGCGCGACTGTACATTGCTATTTGCTAAACCAGAATCTAATCGAGAGAGCTGCGGTTGCTAAACTTGCATTTCGCACTATAGACGTGTTTTTTTTAAAGGGAATACGTTTATATTCAGTCAATTAACTGACAGAATATTATGAACTACTTTGAAAATTAAAAATGGACAAAAATCCACATATTTGGGAGCATTAGCATTTTATATTTATTAGCTCGTTAGCTTAAAAACACGGAGCAACGTGGTATTTAAAGTAACAGAGATGTCTACAACTTTTCTTTAGATAATTAAATGTCCCCCATGTTTTGTAGAAAATCAACGAAATTCTCTTTCATAGATATTTGTTGCGTGAAATCCTGATCCTGTGTTTTTCCTGAAAGAAATGCCTGTGTAGAAAGTGTCTGATGACGTGACTGCAGTCCTGTGAGAGCAGAGGATGGATAGAGACTTGCTAAGGCAGAGCCTTATATATCACGGAGAATCACTGCTCAACAAACTGAAATGTGAACAAACTGAAAACCCTGACTTTCAAGCGGTTGTTTCTGACCTCTGCAAAGCCACTTATGAAAGGTATGTTTACAAATCGAAGGTTTCCATTGTTTGCATCGTGGAGAAAAGTTGCATGCCGTACCGGTACTCCTTTTTTTTTTTTTACTGTTTTGATTCTGTGTAATGAAAATTATTCTACTTTTCATATGGATCTCGTCATAACCACAATTTCTGAGAAACAGTTTACTATGTTGCATGCAATACTGATCTTTTGTACTTACTGAAATTACGAACTGAACCTCTTTTCTGGACCAAAGCCCGAGTTTCTCCACCTAAAAATAATCTGTTGATATATATATATATATAAATAATTTAATTCACAGGAAGTTATTTTTTTTGTGTGTGTGTGTCTTTGGTAGTACAGGGAAAGAGCTGAGCAACACTCTGGTGGAGCAGTTTGTTGCCAGGAAGGCTGACATTTTGTTCTGCCCTACATGGAAAACTGCAACCCCTCAAGAGCATGAGACGGAAGAGGAAGATGGAGCAGGTGAGTTACCTTGGTCATGTGTCTGATGTGAAAGATGTGCATAAAGTTTTAGGACTCCTGCAGTGTCACTTCAGAACAAGTATTCATGTTCATATCTCGTATGTTTTTATGGTATATGTAATATTTTGGAATATCTTTATTGCTTGATTCTTAAAAGAATATTTGGAACTGAAAAATATACAACAAAGTGGAAGAATGGAGTAAATAATGAGCAATCAGTTTTCTATTTATTCTTTTGAATAGTGTGTAATATTTAAAGACATTTACAGTGTGTGTGGTGAAATAAGTCTATGTGTAGGACATTTCTGAATGTGCACCTGCTCCTCCAGAGCCCTACGCCCTCATGCCACCGGTGGAGTTATTCATGGAGCTGTCGTATGATGAGAGGAGATCCATGATTTACAGAGACTTGGAGAAAGGGGACATCGTGGTGGGGAGGATCAACAACATCCGTGAATACGGCTTCTTTCTCACCCTGCTTTGCATGGCTGGTGATCTGAAGAGAGACATAGAGGACCTTGAGTTGTCAGTACGTGAGCAAGTCAAAACCCGGGAATGCATTGTTTCCATAAAGTGACCATAGCCAGCCATTGTGAATATTAAACATGGATTGGATAGAGCTGATGCAGTTGTGTTTGAAAAGTAGCTGTAGATGAAAGCAGTTTTTTTAGTTCCTGCTAGACCCGGAATCTGCCTTCTGGGAACCTTCAGCCCTCGGGGTTGTGTTGTTGTCAGGAAACTGCATAGTACAGATATTTTTCATGTATTTTGTTTACAAGTAACAGCCACTTGCAGAGAACAGTAGAATACAGAATCTCATCTAGAAACTTTTGAAATAAGTTCATAATCAGATATCACATCCACGTGGAGAAAACAATCCAAAGAAAACTCACACCTTGCTTTGTTTTATATTTGTTAAAAAGATTCTTTTAACTTAACAACTTTCTTGCAAAGTTAATTTCTCCTTTAATCTGATCTCTGTCTGTCTGCCCTCAGGCTCTGTGTCATGTAAAGGAAATTCCGTCTACAGGTAGTCACGATGATCCTCTGTCCTACTATCAGATCGGGGACTTTATCAGAGGTATGTGTGGGAAACCACTACCGTAATGGCAAAGATGGCTGATTATTAGAGGTGTCAGGTTGTCTTTAGAATCATTACCATGTGGATGGTGCTGATTTAAAAAAGAAATTAGATATAACGATGATGTTAGCATCACAATATATAGTATGCTAAATTTCACCACATAGGAGATTCTATTTTAGATATAACGATGATAGTCAGGTAATAAAGTTGGCTTACAGTGTTATGTTTTAAGTATGAACAGGTTGAGTGTAAAATCTGCAGACATAATGTAGATTAGAAATAGTGACACCTGTTTTATTTGTTGAGCCTTCATAGTTGGAGATGCATGGCTTCATTTGGTCGCAGTGGGATCCAGAACAGGGACCATAATATAGTTCAAAACATTTCTGAAAGAGAATTCATTCTTTCCTCTTATTTGCTGTGCTCTTTCTACTCTGCAGCTGGAGTGAAAGACATTGATCGCTACCAGGAAAAGATCACAGCGTCCCTCCTCCCGGCCTGTCTTTCTCCCAACTGGGAGCATATCAAATTGGGTGTCATTACACGGGAAGAGCTTCCTGTTGACTACAGGTACCAACACACTAATTTAACTTTCCTATTGGTGGGAACTGTCCAACAAGTCTGTTTTAAAAGAAACAGTCTTATTAGGTTGCAATGCTAAGCTGATTCAAACTGCAGTAGATGATACAAATAACATCCTTTTATGAGCTTTGTCAACACCGGTAAAGTTACTGCAGTTATGAGGCTGCCCCTCATTTTCATATTTAAAAAAGAAGCAAGCTCATTGTGTTTTTGTTAGAATTCAGTTTGTAGATCAAATGTCAGTCTGAGTACCTAAATGATCCCCTCACACACAACCTACTAGGGCACGCATTTTTCATTTTGCTTTAAGGTTTCGTATACACCCAGTTACTGTTCAGGTCCTCTAACGCTGCTTTCTCTCCTCCACCCAGTCGCAGTGTTCGAGCAGCTGCTGACTCCACTGAGACCTACGAATGCATTCTGAGAAGCTGCCATGGTTCCCAAAACCCCTTTGTGGTGAACTACCTGTTGGAGAAGGTGGGGGTCAGTGACCTGCACCCACCGTCAATGATGCGAGGACTACAGAGGTAGATATGTGGATTGCTTTTGATTCTTTTTTTCCCCCTCCAGTTTTATTTGGATAGAAGAGTAAATTGTTAGGAGCAAGGCTCCAACTTGGATAGCTTATACTGTATTTTCCGCACTACAAGGCGCACCCAAAAGCCTTAAATTTTCTCAAAAACCAAAAGTGCCCCTATAAATTCGGTGCGCCTTTTATATGGATCAAGATTGAGTCGCAACAGGTTTCGCAACTACGGGAAGCAGCAGCCGACTAAATTTTTCTCTCGTAGAAGTAGTAGCGTGGGATGCATGTTGGGATATATGACTGTACGAAATGTGCATTTTCATTTAATTTAATTTAATTGCATATACTTATTTCAGCTGAACAAGGTTGGTCATATTGCGAATGTGGACATTAACGTTTGAGTTATTGTTGTATTGTTATTGCTTTGCACTATTTCAAGATTGACTATATTGTGATTGCACTTAAGTTTGATTTACCATAATTGTTTAATTTACATTCTCTTTAGCGCAGCTGCATGTAGTAGATGCATAACGCATCCCCAGCCACCACTGAAACTTCTATTCTATCCGCCTTGTAATGCCAAGTGCCTTGTATATGAAAACATTTTTGAAATAGGCCTTTCATTGAAGGTGGGCCTTATAATCCTGTGCGCCTTATGGTGCGGAAAATATATTTTTCTTTTTTCTTTTACTGAATTATACAACACCTGTTTCAGTAAGGTTTGCTCACAGTTTTTCAGACACACAAAGCTGAGCCTGAACCTTTTCAAATGTAACTCTCCTTTTGACCTCAGAGTTCTTGCATTTGCTTCTTTTCTTTACAGTAAACTTTTCCAAGCGGAAGATTTTGCTCCTTCCATCAGGAAGAAGCAGTCTGCATCCTGGGCCTTGAAGTGGTAAAGCTGAACTGTGTTTATTTTCAGTTTTCTTTTACAATTTAACCTTGTGTCTGAAATTGCTGGCCTTTAATGACTTTTTTTTTTTAACCCCAACCCTTCAATCGTTTTGCTTTATGGTCCGTCAGCGTCCGCGCCGGGGTCGACCACTTCAAGCACGGTCGCCACGTGGAAGCCATGAATGAATACAACAAGGCTTTAGAAATCGACACTAATAATGTGGAGGCGCTGGTGGCACGCGGAGCTTTGTGAGTATGACACAGTGTCTCATCAGTGACAGCATGTTTTATGTATGTCAATGAAACAGCTAAAGCTAAGCAGCCTTTGGTTCATCTCTCTGTGTGATAACACACACATGTTGTTCATGTTCAGTTACTGTTTTACATTTGAACTGCAACATTCAAATCCCTCTCTGTTAGTATTGTCTTCATGATGTAAGAAATCATTCAGTTTAAAGGGGTGTAAGCAGTTTTACCGAAGTCTGTAAAACGGCGTAATTCATCAGCTTTCTCTTCCTGCTGTTTTTTTTTCTCTTAGATATGCAAACAAAGGCAGCATCCTTAAGGCCATAACAGACTTTGAACTGGCTCTGGCGAACTGCCCAGACCACCGAAATGCCAAGAAGTACCTCTGCCAGACACTGGTAGAGAGAGGCAAACAGTAAGTAATGCATCACTTCCATATCTGTATTGGTTGCTGCCGGATATTTTAGCTTTACCACAGCTTTGTAGCTTTACACCCACTAACTTTGGGGGGCCTCTGAAAGGGCATCACTTGTTATTTAAGCAAAATCTGTATAGGAAATAAAGTTAAAGGTTTTAGATTGACATGCAAAATCAGCTATTTCAGTGCTTTCAGGAAACATCCTGTTTGGTTTGATTACTACTTTTACTGCATTATTACATTGCTTTGCTTATTTGCATTGATAGTAATGTCTCTAATTACCCCAATTTGATACCCCAAAACCATCAGTATTATTAGGTTATTATGCTGCTCAGCTGCCACATGCAGGAGAAGTGATGCAAACATTAGTTAGGTTGTGTGACATTAACTGATCAGAGCATCACTGTCTGTGTGCGTTCAGGCTGGAAGAACAAGAGAAGCTTGTAACAGCGGAGGGAGTGTACAGGAGAGCTTTGACCCTTGATGAGTCAAACCCAGAGGCAAAGGAGGCCCTGCACAACATCACAGAAACCATACAGGTGAGCGGGCCACAACACAAACACACACACACATACTCAGAACTCAGCAGGTAAACTTTGTGCCCATTTTAGGCTTAAAAATATAATATTTTAGTGGGATATGTAACCCAACTTGAGGCTTTTTCAGATATTGGGCACAATTTATCAGGAACAAAAAGGACACACTGGTAAACTCCAGATATTCCAGACAACATATGTATGCAGCTTCCCCTAACGGATCAAATCTCCACTGATCGCTCATGTACAATCAACCCATGTACAATCAATTTTGGGAAAATCAAATCTGTTTGTTTAAATGTAGGGTTTGATCCTTTTTGCCCTGGTTTTTACTGAGCGCTTCTTTTGGTGAACTAACACCATGCAAATATGATTTAAACATGACCTAACTTTTGTTTTAGTGGTGTCGTGAATTGGTCGTAGACCTCAGACCAGTGGAGCTGAGATTTGGCTGATGACTGATAGCCGCATCAAAAACTGTGAACAGTTCAAATCAAGTATTACAAAAGCTCAGACCTCTGAAAGCGAATGAGGTCAGATTAAATGGAGGAACGTTTCATTCATTTTTCCATTGGGTGGATATTTTCCTGAGGCCAGACGGCTATTTACACCCCCACTTCATGAATAGGAGTCAAGAAGTTTTAGTGATCTTGTGTTCCAACTTAAAAGGATTCATGTCACAGGTTCTACTGTTGTGTCAAAGCAGGTTTACCTGCTCAGTTGAAGGTTTTCAGAATGTTCTACATAAAGTGTGGGCACTGTGTTTGTAATTCTGATGAAGTGTTTGGTATGTGTGTGTGTCTGCGACCTCTGTGCCCTGACCTTTGACCCTCTGGCTGCCTGGTGGGGGTGAAAAAACATGGACTTCACCATGTGAATGACTCCTCCACCGGACACCGGGTTGTGCCGTGTCCCTACCGCCAATACGGTAACGTTGAACCCTTTTCCGTCAAAATGGGACCAAATGCTGTTTGATTTCTTTTCCACATCCATCAATTCATCTGCCTCTGTGCCAACCGCTCTGCTGGTGGACCACACCACTCTCCATGCGGTAAACATGTGACTGTCCGCTCATCTCCTCTTCACTCTGTGACGTTTGCTCTGTGTTTATGTTGCTTTTGTTCCTTTTCAAACCTTAAATGCTCCGTGTTGTCGCTGCACTCTCGACTCTTTTTCCGACGGAAACCACTGAATAAATGAATGACGGCTGTTTCTGCGTCTCTGCCGCATGTTTCCGGTCATGGTGTCCGTGTTTCTCAACTTTTTTCTGTGGGCTTTTGCCTGCCTGCTGTCATCGTGCGCTGCTTTGCCCGGCAATTCTAAAGAAATCGATTCGCCTGCGAGAAGAAGCACTTTTGAAGGAGCAAGTAAAAGAAAAGAGCGGCCCGACCAGCGCGGAAAAGTTACGTAAGATCTTAAAAGACGAGAAGAGGTATGTTGACTAATGAACCAAAGGTACGCCCTTGTCAAATATCATCATCAGCACAAAAACACACACACAGACACACACACGCTGCTTTGAATAACAAAACGATTTTCAGCGGACGCTTCTCATTTTTTAGGATGAAGAAGAAACGGAAGCGATCAAACTCTTCCTCCTCGTCCCCTTCATCTCGGAGCTCTTCATCATCATCATCATCCTCCTCTCGCAGGAGGTCAAAGAAGAAAAAAAAGAAGAGGAGGAAGTCTGTGCGGGGAAGTAAGCGCCATCGGCGGATCTCCTCTAGGGACAGCAGGCGGAGTGAAGAGGGTAAGAGGGAGAAAGAGGAGGACGAGGTGGAGTGGATTCCCGCCCCTCCCAACACCTCCGCCACTTTCCTTAACCAGAAAGGTGGGCCGATGTTTTCCGGAGGAGAAGATGATGATAAGGCAGCAGGGAGGGACAGGGACGACAGAAGGGTTAGTGAGTTATATTCTTTGTCGGCCGCCTCAGAGGAGGAGGAGTCTGACTCCTCGCACAGAGACAGAAGGAGGGACAGTACAGAGAGCAGGACGAGAAAGAGAAGCAGCCCACAGAGTGAGGAGAGGAGGGGCGGGAGCAGGGAAAGGGAGAAGGAGGGGAACAGGAGAGACAGTGACTCCCGAAGGAGGAACAGCTTAGAGGAGAATCGAACCCGAAAGTCGTCCTGCTCGTCAGCTGAGGTGGAATATTTAGGCCAGAAATCAAGTTTCTGGCCTGAATATTCAGGAGACCCTGGTTCTGCTTCCAAACATCCAGAAAACAGGATGAGGCACGACTCATCCTCAAGGAACTCCTTTGATGGCGGTAGGTACGAGAACAGAGGGAGGCAGGAGGGGGAGGAGGCCAAGAGATGGAAGGAAAGTAGGAAGGAGAGATCAGAGGAAGAGGGCAGCACCTCGCATCAAGGGCTAAGTGATAAATCAGAGAGCGCTGGAAATCAGAATGGACAGAGTGCTGTGGGGCCCAAGAAAGCCCTCCCTGCTAACTTGCTGGATATTTTTAACCAGATTGCTCAGTTTGAGAAAGAAAAAGGGGCCAAACCAAAAAAAATGACTTAAACAAAACTCCACAACACCCTAATAGGCATTTAGAGAGTAAATGACAGGAGTATAGGTACAACAAAATCTTTGTTTGGGAATGGAAAACAATCCGAATGCCCCAATTCTTTCCTCCGACGTCACTTTCAGTGACACATCAAATAGTTTATTGTGATTTAAATATGTCTTGTCCTTTCTGCTGAAGGCCTGCTTGTAGCAGCACCGTTTACCATTGGATAACGTGTCAACATGACACCGATTTTTCCTCCAAAATGAGTTTAAGCTGTTTGATCCGTTTTTTAAAAATTAATCTTTAAGGTGGGGATCCGATGAGACCGTTTTCTAAAAGTGATTTGAAGAATTGTTTTCCAAGCATGTTAAGTTGTAACGATGTATGCAGCACAAACAGGCTTTAAAACGTCTGCTGTAATGTTGAGACCTCTTTATTTTTGATGAAGAAATCTGCCTTATGTTTACTGCCATGTGCCACGCTGTATGTTCTTCGTGTTGCTCGTCGAGCCTCTTCTCCAACACACCCGACTGTTAGTGTTAGTATAACCTCTTGGACTCTCCATAGTGCTTCCAGCTGTATTCCAGATCAGTTTTTTTTTTTCCTGGTGTAAAAAAAAAAACTCATTTGAGCCAATAAAGCATTTACAGTGTCCAGACTTCATTTTGTTTCAGTCTCCAGTGATTTCTTTGTTGTTCATCAACATCCAGAAAACAGCTCGTCCTTCAATATTTTGTCTTAAAAACCATCTGATGTAATTAAATATTCAAATCCTCAAGGATAAAACCAAAAGCTGAATTTTGATCTTTGGAGTTTTGATAAACTTGAAACATTAATGTCCAGCGTCCAAGTGCGAACACATGGTTGGATTAATTTTTGAGGACATAGACACAGTTTGTGACTATGTTCCAGTACAGGAGAGTATTGGTTAAAGCAGGTGGTGTAAGTAGTCAGCTGTTTGAAGTGAGTACCAAAACTCTGTCGGAGAAAGGGCTCAGTACTTATCAGAGGCACGCTGCCTCACGAGAATGTGTGGGAAAAGATTAATTTTGCAGCAGAATATTGATCCCGAGCCTGCATGGACGCTCTGCTGTTTGAAGTCCGATTAAGAGAAGGAACTGCAGGCAGGTGTAGCTTTTCCTCCACAGTAACCGGGCACCTATTTCACTGGAAAAAGGGTATGAGCTGCATGTGCGGTCTCATCAAAGGTTTGCCTTAAACAAATTACAAGAACACAAAGTGGATAAAGTCTCCACAAAATGAACAGTAGAATATGATAAGGCCTTATTTTGCCACATGTCTAGTGAACTCCATAAAAGGTGTTTTTTGTGTGTGTGTGTTGGGTAAACCGATCTTTTGAGATGAGAAACATGGCAAAAGCAAACTGCAGGTGCCAGGTTTACCCTAAAACTATCAAATGTAAGCTTTTAAAAGTGGTTTCTTTGGAGCCATATTTCCATAAGCTATGTTGTTTCATATCTCTTCACGCTGGGACCACACTGAGACGCTCTAACAAACATGGCCTCATCCCTCAGTGAATTAAAGCCAAAGTGTCCCTGTGGCTTATTGGCTCTGTAAGCCACTTGGTGTCACACATTTGATTTAATAACTGGACACACATCAGTGGCTGTGCGACCAGCCGTGAGTCGTCTCAAGCCAAAGTAGCTTACTTCAAGCTTAGCTGCCAACCTCTCGCTCTCCTCCTCCATCATTACTGGTCCCATCATCGATGTGCCGGAGAAGCTGCTCGTCCCCGTCTATCTTGTTAGGGCAGATTAGCCACTAATATTCAGCCGGAATGGAGGACTCTTCATTTAATGCTGCACATACACACTCCTAAACATTTGGGCTCCTGTCCAGACGCCTGACATCTTAATCATTCTAAAATACCAGCTCCAAGAGATCTCCAAAAACTCTCCCTGTGTGGACGAGGAACTGATTATGCAGCATTTTCTATCATCACAAGCTGTGACAAATGGAAAGATGTTTAATTTAGCTCCATTATTACTGGCCAGAGGAGAACCAAACCACTCCTTGTTCTTTTGGGGGCTTTGTACCTTTTTTTTCTCACCCTACAGGAATATTGCTACTAAAGACATACTGTTGAACTAAACACTAAACTAGGGGTAAAACAGCACAGATGTGGTTATTTTGTATGTTCAGAGGCTTTATAAACTAGTCTTTATGATCAGATTCTTTAAAAAGTTTGTAACACATACTATTTTCAATTAATCATCTCAAATGGAAGTCTTGTCTTTTAATAAATGAATTTACACATGGCCACAAACAACCTTTGCTGGAAGAAAATGGAGCAGTCCTGCAGTCCAGTAGGTGTCCACTGGGGGGCAGTGGAACACTGTGGGCATCAGCAGTGGGTTTTAGGATGGAGCAGGAGCATATTTAACCTAGAATAAACATTTTCTTCTGTTCTTTTTCCTTTTTCCTTATCCCTCTCCCTTTGCATAGATCTGTCATGTATCAAGCCTACAATGGACTGATGTCCCCGTATTTTTAGGTGTTTGCTTGCATTTGAGGACGTGTTTCTGAAAGATTTTCAGTTCAGTCATAGAAGTTAGATGTCTGATCAATTTTTCAAATGTACAAACAAAAGACGTAATGATCAATCAATTCATAAAATGCAAAAAAATATTAGAAATATGAATATCAATTGGGACTTGATTTTCTGAACATGCTTAGATAGATGGATAAGAATCATATTTTCCTTTTCACTTTAATCAAATAACGAAAATCTCAGAAACTACAATCTGACTGACAATTCTTCTTGAGTTTAACGAGAGTTTATTTATAGAGACAACAGATAAATTTGATATTTATAACAGAATCAAAACACACAGACCAGTACTTCTGAAACATCAGATGTATTTTTACCTAATGTAGTTGTGGGTACAAATTAAGTCAATTAATTCAAATAATGCTTTTTTGTCGTTCACTTCTTTTTAAGTTAACTCCCCCAGGTCTAGTGTTTTACTGTGCCAAGAGACTCCCCATAACTGTCCTTCTCTGATTAGAATTAGGACTTTTTCATCGTGTCCTGACACTGCACAGGTACAATGAGCTGGGTGTAAAAAGTGTCGGAGAAAAAAAAAAGAAAGAATACAGGGACAAGAGCAGGAAAAGAGGCTCTTTAGCCCTTGAAGGTGCAGGTCTCTCAACTAGTTGTGAAGGTCAGCAGCAGGTCTTCCTGCGTGTCCGACTCTGATGAAGCTGCAGATTTTCACCTCCATGAATCATCCCGCTCAGTTCTCCTCCCCCTGCTCCGCTCCCACCTGGACTCCTTACAAAGAGTGGGGATTCCTCCTCTTAGGCCTCTTTCTTCAGCGCCGAGGCAATCAGACCGTTGAACACGCCGAGGGTAGATGAGACATTTTAAATTAGTGTTAGGAGAGGAGGACAGAGAGAGAGAGAGAAGGGGGAAAATGACATTTTTCATTTTCTACAATAAAAGGTACTACATTGAATTCTCGGAGCATGACAATACAGAAGAGTAAGTAATGGAATAGGAGCAGACGCGGTGTCTGTGTGTTAGTGGATAATGAGGAATTTTAAAGATGTACGGTCCTCTGCTGCCATTCAATCCGAGTTTTAGCCTGTCGCTGTCATGAGTCCTTGTCTCCGAGCTGTCACAATACTCCACAGGGACTCCAAGTTCCTCTATTGGAGCAAGACTTGTTTTCAAAATGAATTCTGTGGTAATTTAGATTGGTCTTGAGGGGTTCCAGACATCAGCTAGTTCAGTAAGAATTGAATAAATACCATTTGCTACAATGTTTAAGAGTTGTCAGGCATCTCTGACGTCTTTCATTGTTTTTACCAACCACGGTCCTTAAAGACTCCAAATTTGTCGTTCCAATTTATTTATTTATCTTTTATCACTGACTATCTTTTATCATTTTCATTGTGATTCAATTGAATTACTTTTTGTTATGAATTTGTTCACTAGATTATGACAATAATCTGTGAAAAGTGCAGATACTTTATGCATTTATTTCGATAGATAAAACCTATTTCAGATTTTAACATTAAATTCTATTCACACACATCCCTCACAGTGGATAGTCCCACCCCTACACATCCTTGCTAGTCTTGTGATGGCAATTTTACATCTTTGCTCAATGCTTTTATTATATTTTCATCTTCTGATTTGTTTTCTGTACAGTTGTACATTAGTTGTGATCACACCCAATTTTTTGCAGATATAATTAAAACATAACAACAAACTGTTTGCAGTATTCACTGGTTTGCAGCAGCTGTGAGGCTGTAAACCAGCTGTTGGCAGCTGCAGATTCAAACACAGTGTGCTTATAACAGTATGTGTGTGTTCATTAAAGTATCAGATCACATTAATATGGCCACAGGATTGTCCCGCTATATGATAACTATAGTATTTGTAACCGAAAGTATAATTTAGATGTATTACATGGTGACATCAGGCTGAACACAGTTTAGCCATTCAAACTTTGGAAAACTTGTCAAGAGATCAGGAAGACCCATTCTCATAGACAAAAATGTTTGCTCTAACCATAAGCACCATTGTGACATAATTACTGCCCTTAGAGCGTATACAGAAGAGATACCTTATTTATTACTCTTAACATCCCTCAGAGTGTTTTTTGTGCTCCCAGGCAGTAGTCATTAGGGAGAACACACAGCAGGATGCCCCGATACAAAACGCAAACAAGTCTGCATGCCATTGTTCTGTACACCCTACAAGTCATTCCTCACAGCCAACTGGAATAATGCAACATTATCTCACCCACTGCACTTAGATACTAACCTCTAATACACTTATTTAGTTATTTCTTTACAGGCATTTTGAATGTGAAATGTACAAAGCTTAAAGCATTGTTCTCGGCCCACAGTTGTGACAGCTGTACAGTCAGCAGGTGAGAACGCTCTGTCTTTCGCAGAATGACAGTCTTTAAGGAGGCAAGGATTCAAGGTGGAAAGAGGTTGTGCTACAAGCCATCAGAGCATCCTTCAGTTTGTGCGG